CCCCAAAACCCCAAAACCCCAAAACCCCAAAACCCCAAAACCCCTTAAAATCATCTAAATTTGATAAATAAAATGGATTATTACTATAGTGATGATCAAAGTAATGATGCTGATAGTTTGATAATGGCACCTAAGATAAATGTAGACTACAATTTTCATGAGAAAGAAAGTTTCCGTAAGTGTTTCTTTTCATTTCAAAGCCTCTGTCAGGAAATCAGTAGACTTCAGCAACGAATATATAGTTCAAAACATTGTTGATAGTCCGAAGAAGATGCCTAAAAAGCAGAAAGTGAGCCTTTCTCTTTCTACCGCCACTTTGCCAGCAAAGCTACTATATAGGCGCTTTTCGCCGAGCATAATCAACAAATGCTATAACAATCCGAAATCTGTAAAATCTTCCAAATAAATTCACTCAAAAATCATTATCATCTGGGCGTGGACCCTCATTCAAAGACTACAAGCTGCCAAAGACGATTGTAAAGTTCAATTTTTCAATTTCAACTACAACAAAATCCTGTGGGAGAAAGTCTCATTTTGAGGAATTCGCGAAGAAATAAGACTCAGGTTTTTACTCCAAGTAATTAACACAGTAACAGTTCTAGGCAAGCTGAATATCCACCAGGCGTGGGAACTCCTCAAGTCTAAATAAAGGTATCCCAGGTGCGAAGAGGAGCACCTTGATCGATGAGATTATCAAGCGCAGTAAGGAAATCACCACTCCTGTGAGGTATGGAATGAAGCATAGAATCAAGGTCAATGGAGTTTCACAAAATAAAGCCCCAAAGCATGGGTAAGATGTGATCCTGAACTTATAGGTACTTTGATGATAAACTCACCAATGCATATAAGACTCCAGGGGTTAGGTCTAGGTACGATTCTGATAAATACAGGCGGAATTTCTCATCATTAGCTCAATTTGGCCGTCTATCTCGCAAGATAAAGACTCTTAAATAATATTGAAACATTTCAACGTAAGGATATAAGATAGGGGTTTTGGGGTTTTGGGGTTTTGGGGTTTTGGGGTTTTGGGG